CCAGCTCTACACCTTGTTATCTCAGGAAATCCTTTTAATTTAGCGACAGGTTTAAAAATGCCCTGAAGGAGCGAGTCTGGGCCAGGTATCTCCTGCGGACACTGCTTCCTTTGAGCGTTACTGAGCGGAAAAAAAAATTACAGCCCACAAAATTCTTCTTTCTCTGCCAATGCTGACTGATTCAAAAGTTGGTATGAGGAGAAAACAAAAAGCACAGTAACGTTTCAATAGTGTCTTTCGACAGAACTGGCAATGATGTAGTTCAGTCCCCTTCACATTGAGTCTTGCACCATGAAGGCCTGGTGTATGTTACTCACTCTGCCCAGGCACGCAGTCCCAGTCAAAAGGGAGAGACATGGAATTTAAGGATGAAATAACATGTAGAGTCCTGTTCAACTTTACGGTCTTGTAACTGTACTGGAACTTTTATTTTAACGAGCATTATATAAATCTAGATGTGCTCGGTTGTAAATGGCGCAGACTGCTGGAGTCTATCCTGCCCGTACAGAACTTATCAACAGTGTCAGGAGTGAAGTCATAAATTGCATAGCAGCTTCTGCCTCTGGGTCCTGTCTCAATCAATGGGTTTGCTTTAAGCTTACCTCCAGCCCTTTTTAAAACAACTTTTCCCTTATATGGTTAGCGAGGATTTCTGAGCCTGTTACCCTGGTCCAGAGGAGGAGGCGGGGTTATGTGTATGTGTATGTGTGTGTGAGGAGAGATTACCTTAGATGGCAAACAAAGTCCTGCCTGAGGGTATGTCCGATGCCGTTCTTTCGTCCTGCCCCTGCATATTTTCAGGCAACTTTAGATGCCATCGAAAAGGGGAGACGCTTGCCAGCAATCTGTGGAATGCACAGTGCTCAATTTCAGAGTAAACGCGGTGAGGAAGAGGTATATAAAAAAAAACTCACACATACAATGTTGAATCTAATTCGGCATGTTTACTCCATGAGCAAAGAATCTCTGATTCCGGGAAACACACCTGGATTATTTCACCATCTGAAATCAGTTTTTTAAAAAAATAAATAAAAAAAACGCCAATCCAATTTTATGCGCAAATATGAGAGACGTGGCGCGGTTGGAAAGAGAGAAAGTGAGACTAAAAACTGTTAGTTGGCCTCCTGTGCTGCAGGAGTGCGACAGTCCACTAGGGGCGCTTTCTGTGTGAAATTTACTTTACAAACACACAGACTGCAAAATGCTCCCCCGGCATCATCTGTCAAGAGAGGAACAGCTCAGGCCGATGATCGCCCATCAGAACCCAGTCCAGCCTCGACCAACAACTTCAGCCGAATGTGAGAATTACACCTGGGGCAAATCACAGAGAACGCTGGAGAAACTCAGCGAGTCTGGTTGCATCTTTCGAGAGAGAGAAAAATCAGAGTTGAAGTTTCCAGTCTTCACAACTCGTGTTCCGGGGGATAGACTCGCTCCGTTAGCTCTGCTATTGTCTCTACAGATGCTGCCAGACCTGCTGAGTTTCTCCAGCACTTTGTGCTGGGAGTTTCAAATTTGCAGCACCCCGCAGTATTTTGCTTTGATTGACACTTTTGAAGCCGTCGCTAGCTGGAGACTCCACAGCAACATGTTCCCTCAGATGTTGCAGCCCCTGTGTTAGTTACAGGCTGCTGATGTTATTAGGATTGAAGGGCGTGGGATCATCGTTAAAACCATCACGTTGACAGAGAACATTCTGATCCAAGAATAAATCTGAGTTAAGGCGACTGTGATATATGTAGCTGATGTTGGTTTATAGTATTGTCACAGTATACCGTTCCATCCTGATTCTGACAATAATGATACAATTTATTTCCTGGTGTGACTGCCACCCCTATGCCTTGAGTAAAATGTTGCATTCACATGGGAGGGGAATCACCCCTCCTCTAGTTAACGCCTTTGCAGGCATTTGCCGCCTGAAGCAAGCTTCCAGTATGTATATATATATATATATAAAGGACTGGGCAGCTCAGAAATTAGCAAGCGCCTATTTACTGCATTGCTAACTTCACAGTGCAACAAGACAAGCGTCAGTCATTGCTTGGAGGCACAGTCAGATGATACAAGTGACATGGACAAACATATTTCCAAACACCCCCCGCCCAAACCAATGGTCCCAAAGCCCAGTAGGCGGGGAGAGACGTGTCTTTGATGGACAGTTCCCTTCATCAATCGGAGTGCTGGCTGATGGCAGGGTGGCCAATGGGAGCAGCAGGAGGGGAGGTGGGGGGTGGGATATCCGCCACACACACAGACACACACAGACACAGCTGCTGGGTTCAGCCTGTCTGTGTTATATTGTAACCCCGGGCTGTGGTAGCGACACCCCACAGAGAGAGGACACATACACACACAAACACAACGCCATGGATCATTACGATGCGAACCACTCGCAGGGCGATGACTATATGCAGCCGGAGGATGACTGGGACCGAGACCTCCTGTTAGACCCAGCCTGGGAGAAGCAGCAGAGAAAGGCAAGTACTGTTGTATTCCCGAGCAGCCGGCTCGAACCACCTAGAGGATCAAAGCATTATCTCCCTCGCTGGCTTTCCAGTTCCGGAGATCATTGAAGTGATCCACTCTATCCGAGGGATTATGGAAAACCGAGTTCAGGCACAGTCACACACCCCACTTTAGACCAAGTGTTTTCTTTTAAAGTGGGGTGACAGTGTAATCAGTGGTTGGAGTCTTTGATTTTTTTTGAAAAGGAATCCTTCGTTATTGAAAATTTGGTTCAGATTTAGTGTGGGTGTGTGGATGTCAGTGTGGAGATGAGAGAGGAATTCTCTCCTGAAGCTGGGCTTGGCTTCAGTGTTGAAGTTTTGAGTGCAACAGATGGTTTTGCTGGGTGACTGACTCCATGTCCATTCCACAACGCAGCGCCCAGTATCTTTCCGGCTTTGTAAAAGTGTCAAACCTTTCCTTTTTCATCGCGAAGGTGGGGGTGGGGGGAGGCGATAAACAATTTTTACTGCATCCCCTCCCCACCACATAAAGGGATGATAGGTGCTTTGACCTGGGTGTAGTCCTCCTGTTTTACAACAGGTAACCTCCATGTTTAACACACAGTGAGATTCACCCTCCGGCGAGTTTATCAGCCTACAGAGTAATGTAGCACCCCTTTCAGACTTCTCAGATGCTCCGACCAGAATTTCAAAGCGAATAATGATCAAATAATCTGAAATTAGCTCCACGAGTTGAGTTTCGGTGTCAATTTCTCCTTCAGGGTAAACGCTTTGTATTTTTTTTGTTGGGTATTGAGGGAGAATTTCGAGCGATGTGGTTTCGGCACTATTACTGAGTGTTTCTGAAGGCTGGTGACATTACAAGATGACAGGAGTTTACTTTGCCGGGCAGTCTTGCCGGATCTGTCTCTGTGTCTCTTTGTCTCTCTTTTCACTCTGTTCTAACTATTCCTCTACCTGGGAGAGTCAACCCCAGCAGCCTGGCCTATTTCAGTGTTAGAACGCAGGCACAAGCCAATGCGAGGACAATCTTCAAATCACACTGAGTGCTGTGGCTGTGGGGGTTCTTGTAAGTGAGTGCTTATTTCTGGTACCTTTTTTGTTTATTTGAAGTGACGGTAATTCATTTCCCCTCATCACCTTTAGCACATCTTTCTGTGAACGGTCACCCTCTTTTCAGTTTTCAATACCAGTTTTGTCAGTGGGGAAGTTTGGAAATGGGGTGTAGTTAAACCCTAAATTTACTGCTTGGATTCTATTGATTTGAATTGAAACATACGGTTCTCTAGATCTTTTCTCAATTACTGGCCATAATCTTTGTCTCCTGATGTGAGTCAATTGTTAGCTTTTATAACTATACTTGTATAAATAGGGAAATTTTAGGTACTAACAAACATTTTGATGAGTTTTCAAACAAACCACACTGGAAAGTATTTTCGAGTTGATAAGAGTTTGGGAAGGATAAGGGTTGGGTTTGTGCTGTGGAGTCATGTCCAAAAATGGTAACAGTCATGCTTTCCCTGCAATGTTTGATTTGTCTTGGCCAGAAGTTTCATGCATTAGGTCATTTTTCTGCATTAGGTATATATCATTTAAAATGTCTGCATTTTGTTTGCATACCAAACAAGTGACATTGTTGTACTTTATTTTTCCTTCAGATTAGTGTGTGACCAGTGTAAATTCTTGCTATTATTACAGAGTGAAGGTGACTGTGGCTGTTCACTTAATCTCTGCACTCTTCTTGTCTATCAGCTCTAAGGAATGAACTGGAATGTTGGAAGAAGGAACCTTAGCTTCTTAAGAATATGTTTCTAGATGCAGCTTTTTTTTTTGAAATGTTAGGAGACAGAACACAGAACTAAAGACTGGGAATCAGACTAATAATTACAGTGTCAGAGAGGCTGTACCTAGCACGCTGTTAGAGGCCCTGTAGGAAAGGTTTTGCTCCTTTCCATTCCTTTCTCTTTAGGGAAATATTGGATAGAGACTTTTTATTTCTAAAGAGGGGACAGACATGTGATGGGCGTGTATGTCCTTGTAATTTTGAATACCAGATCTAGCTGTCTTGTGAGTTAGATGATCCAGGTCTGACTCTTGCCTTGGTTTGTTGTTTGCCATTTCTGTGCCATTCCTTGCTTTTACCCAGCACAGTTGTACTGGTTTTAAAGGTGCAGCTTTATTACATTGTTCTGAAACTCAGAGTGGTGTGTTGTTTCATTTGAAACAAAACCATTGGCTTTTGATGGGGGTGTTTCATGATTTCCACTTGTTTGTTCATAGGTTATCTCCACTTATTATAGCATTTGAAATATTGTGATTTTCAGTGGTTACTAGCTGACTGTCTTCTTTCCCCAGCCTTCGTGGCTTATTCATGTTGTACTTCAGTCTGCCACCTACCCAACACAAACGTTGATCCCTGATCTATGCAGGGAAATCCAGGTTCTTTTATGGAATTCTGAAAAGCCAACTTCAAGGACAAAACAGTGTTTCCTTTATGCATAAAAAAAATTGAAAGCTGCCAGTTGCAAACTGAAAAGGCAGGGGTGATTTATCTTCCTGACAAAGTATGTTTGTATTTGTACAATGCAGAAAATATTTACTGTAGTTTTATAGTTTTTGAGGCTTCTGTTTATTTCTACTATATGTTTTGATAGATGCACAACAACAACAATAAATGTCGAATGCTAATACACCTATTTTTATTTTACAAAAACTACAAAACCACGAAGTAAAACAACCCAGAGTGTCACACTAAAACCTTTTCTTGCGGGATTGTACATGTTGTCCGGTGTTTATACTGAGTGGGAGAAAACACTTCATTTCAGTTACTGGTTTTTGAAGATTTGAGTCAATATTACAAGGCTGTACACATCAGACAGCTAATGTAAAATATCTGTGTATAGCAATTAAAACAGAAAATGCCAAAGTGGTCGAATTTTCATCATTTGTGAAACACAGAAGTAACAGGTTTTTAAGCGAGTTTGAATGGAAGCAGCTACGGAGGCTGATTGAGGGAGAACATCATGGAAAGTTCATGGGAAGTGGAAGGCAGGAAGGGTAAAGGACAAAAGGGATGAAAGGCTAATGGGAGGTGCTAACAGGAAAGTCTTTTCTGTTGTACCATCATCTGTGTTGCCACTTAATGTCTCTTGCCTCCGATCTATCACAGACCTTTCCCATCAGTTTTCTCTCCTTTCCCTAACTCTGTACTTTCTTAAAACTAGAATCTTAGAATCCCTGCAGTGTGGAAGCAGGCCATTTGGCCCATCAAGTCCACACTGACCCTCTGAAGAACATCCCACCCAGTTGCAACCCCTACCCCTATCTCTGCATTTGTCATGGTTAATCCCCCTTCCCTGCACATCCCTGGACACTGTGGACAATATCAGCATGACCAATACACTGTAGGAGGAAACTGAGCACCCGGAGGAAATCTACGATGAGAACGTGTGGAGTTTGCACAGACAGTCGCCCGAGGGTGGAATCAAACCTAAGTCCCTGGTGCTGTGAGGCAGCAGCGCTAACCACTGAGCCACTGTGCTGCTCTGGTTAAACTAGTTTCTCAGTGTCACCGATCTGAAACGATAACCCCGTTCTGCTCTCTCCTACGTGCTGTCTGACCAGCTTTGTATTTTCAGCAAACGCAGAGTATGTAGAGAAACTGAGAAACTCAACAAGTGTGGCAGCATCTGCAGAGGGAAACAGTGTTAATATTTTGAATCTGTGATGACTACTTCAGAACTGAAACAGTACTGAGGAAGAGTCATCCTGGGCTCTATGTTAGCTGTTACTCTTTTCCAAGATGCTGCCTGACCTGCATATCTCTAGTATATTCTGTATTTGATTCAGATTTCCAGCATCTGCAGCGTTTTGCTTTTATATTCTCTGACCAATATGGGACAAATATTAGATTGCATAGCATTTTTGTTCATTCAGTTTTTGTCAGTATAAAAGGGATATTTGGCCCTGGAGCATGCAGACTGTGTAAAAGGCATCACACCTCCTTCACAAATATGGACAATGGAAACCTGAAATCAAAAACCAAAATGTCTGGAAATATTCGGCAGGTCTGGCAGCAATCTGATAAGCAAAGTGCATACTTCAGGTTGATAACTTTTCCCAGTTCTGATTAGAATTTATCATCTTCAAAGCTAAAAGCTTTAATTCGAAAGTGTTTTGATTTTAAAAGCAATTTCTGCTGCTGTGTGTGTTCGAGGCCCTCACTAAATTTAAATTGTATTTTGATACAGTGAATTGTGGGATGTATTTTTGATCATTTTTAGATTTTGGAGACTTTGGCAATAGTGTGTATTTTGGAGAATCTTTTATCTAAGTTTTGGTTTAGCCGACAATTTTGATTTAGACAAGAAACATTCATGAAAAAAATGCCTAAATTACAAGTCATTAGGGGCTGCAAGATAAAAATGAGAGATTTCTAAATTTAAGTACTTTGCAACTTGCTAAGACACACTGGTAGAAGGCACATTTAATTCAAATACGTGCATTGAATTTATTTTTCAATAGATAATTTCAGATTACTATAGATCTCACACTGGACAATGTTCTTTACCTTTTTACCTTTACTGGCAAAATGTAATCTAGCCATAGGCCCACCAGACCATAAGGCTGCTCCCTCCTAAGAGGGTGATGACTGATGGTGGTTTAACCTGAGGGTCACCACACCTCAGGCAAGGGGAGAGCCCTTGGTGTAATTTTAGCTGGTGCAGGAATTGAACCCATACTTCTGGCATCACTCTGCATCACAACTGAGCAAACCAACCCCTTCTTTTGCTGGTAAAGTCATCTTTTAAACAAACTACCTTGATGTATTAAAAAAGAGATTTTTTTTTAGCTGTTGATTTGGATTAAAAGCTTCAACTAGCATACTCAGAATAATTTACTGTTTCATCTACAATACTCGTTGTATCTATAAAACATGACGTTTGCACTCAACTGGTTTCAAGTAGAGCAGAATGAAGTTTTTCATTGAACTTTGTAGGTTCAATTGA